CTCTCCTCTCTCTCTCTCTCTCTCTCTCTCTCTCTTTTGAACCAACCTCCAGCTGATGACTTATGTGACTGAAGGAAGTTGGGTCCAAATTGGCTGCTGTGATGACTTCTGAAAGAACTGCTTCCTTTTTCTCCAAGTGTTCTGATACCTGGGAAAAAATAGTAAAATCTTTATACTGGTTTTATTACTAAAAGAGCTGCCATTAATGTTTAACCCCCAAAAGATGAAAAAATACAGTGTTGAGTGTGTAAAGGATGATGAACAAAATATAGTCTCTTCTGAAAAAATGAAAATTACTTTTGCATTTTTTGCTGTGTACCAAAGACTCGAAAACAACAATGCTGAGCAATATGTGCCCAAAAGACTTTATTTAGCAAATTGAAAAATTAGTAAAATGAATTTTGACATCTGCCCTTGATAACAACCATTGCTAATTATGACAATTCCTATAAATCATTCTTTAAGGGTTTATGAATATAATTTGCTACAGAAAACACTTGATACTTTGCTTTCAACTAACTATATGAAGACAATTATCATCAAAATAAATTTCTGTAACATCATCAAAATTATCAATAACAAAGTCTTTCACCAAACCTGACTCAGTCGTTTCTCCAGCACAATATTTCTCAATTCGCTGCGCTGTTGTACCTCTCCAACAACAGCAACAAAGTGGTCATACAATTCTTTACGTTCTCGCTCAATCTGCAATGAATAAGCATGAAAACCTTTTAACCTTTGGGACAGAAAATAGTAAAAAATGGAATGGTAGCTTAATTTCTTGAAGTATTATAGTTTTTATCAATAAAATATGTCATTATTATTACATATGAGGATATGCATGTCTAAAGGTGTTCTAAGACTAATTGCCCAACACTGCTTGCCTTATATATGAAAGTCTAAATTATCAAATAATTTGGTAAACACATTGTTGGTAAACCAGTCTGAGAATAGCTTTCGATGTGCATAACCTTATATATTGTTTGATGTTATATATCATATATCATGTTTACATATTATCTTCATTATTACATAATATATCATTCAAAATTAACTACACACATGTATTATTGTGAAAACTATTTACTGTGGCTGACTAGACATATGAGTAACAAAACTATTAGTAGTTTGCAATCACCTTCTAAGGGAGTATTATGGCAATATAAGAAAGGCTGATTTAGTCTACTTTCCTGAAATATGTGTTTAATCACCTTACCCTTACACCCATAACCAATAAAATTATTTCTTTATTACTTAGTCTCATAGCTAACTGATTTTTGAAATTCTACAAAGTATTCTATCAAAATAACTAGCATATTTGGGGGATTATCTTTTCAAACAAGGTATTGTGAGTGATATTGATGTTGCCAAAAGCCTTATAACCCTGTACTTTAATCATTCCACATTTTTCACATAAAAAAAGAGAAAACAAGCAGGTGAGCTTGACAGAACTCACTCCTCATTCTACTTACAGTTTCTGCCTTCTGCCGCATAACCTCAAGTTCCCACTGTATGGATTCTTTCTCACTGGTTAACACCTTTACCTGGGCCTGACTTGTCTAAAATGCAAGGTACACATACATGAGTACATATAAACATACATCTAGAGATATATAGATTCGCTAAATAAAGGCATATTTCTCCATACAACTGTAAACTGAAATACAGGCTAGGCATAAATATTAACATGAACATGCATACATAATATCTGTAATTCCCAATGTTTACACCTAATTATATCTATTAGTCAACATATCTGTCAGTCTCTGTCTAAAGAAAAAATGTAGAAAAATATTAAGTGTATACACAAATAATACCCCCAGTCCTTCGGTATTGTGGGACCCTGGTTGGGAATTACTGTACTGAATGGCTCAGATGAAACAGAAACACATACACAAACATACTCAAAACACACGACATACACAAATACACATACATGAGCACACACATGCATAACTACACACAGACCCACAGATCCCCCCACCCCCCCACACACAAAACATGCCCAAGAGCATTCCTCCTGCTTACCAGGTAACTCTCCTTATCCCTCTGTGAGCGCTGGACAGACCTTTGCATGTCTGTCAACTTCTTGCGAAGGTTAGCCGCCTCAGCCTCTAAGCGTGCTCGACTGGTGATAGCTGCTCCCATCTCCTGCTCCAGTTTGTGTTCACGCTCCTTTTGCTCTGCTAATTCAGCCTAGAATTGCCATAAAGGAGTTTACTTTAAATCACTGAGATATTTACTTCTCTCTTATGAAAGATGGTGTACTTGTTTTTCTACTATTTAAGTATTTTCAGTGATAAACTTCATGATTTAAAAAAAAGATCATCAGTAGCAATTCATTTCAATATTCAATTACATTAAAGAAACAAATTCAGCTAATCAAGCTCTTTCCCTTACTTTACACAATATAACCTTTGGTACTGATCATACACACACACACACACACACACACACACACACACACACACACACACACACACACACACACACACACACACACACACACACACACACACACACACCACACACACCACACACACAAACACACACACACACACACACAAACACACACACACACACACACACACAAAAAAAAATGCAGACATGTAGGTATGCACATACATGCACAAACAGACCTTAAGCTCCGTGATGAGCTTGAGATTAGTAGCTGTAATGTCGGTGTAATACTTCTTCATCTCCTCAAAGGTTTTTTCATGGTTAGAGATTATGCTGGAGAGGAAATTATTCTTCTTCTCCTCCTGTGCAACCAGCTCTGTCTTGCGCTTGAGGTCCAGCTGAGTCTGTAGGGCCTTGATGCGTTTCACTGATTTTGCTTCCATTGCTGCTGCTTCTGCCTCAAACTCCTGCCTTAGAGCATCCAGGGCCTTACTGTTCTCCTGGATGAGGGTGAGGGGGAAACATGTCACATTGCTTTTGTCTAGGAAAAATAAAGGGAAAATGACACAGTCCAGCATGCATCACTCTAATGAAAGAAACAACGTTAGAATGAGAGTGAATAACTCTACCATGCAAGTTCTTCTATCATAGATTGGAATCTGAGAAACTGTGTGCCTATTCACAATATGCTATATTGTTATTACATCACATTATCATAATTGAAGGTGACTATATGAAATCTTGGTTATTAGGCAATTTATATACAATATGGAGCTAGATCACATTCTATTAAGACTTTGGGGAGGTAGCTGAAGAGTTTGATCATAGTAAAAAGAGCAGCCATGGAAACTTCCCATGGGTTGTCAAGAAGAACATAGGAGTCTAGGCTTAAGTATTAAAACAGTTTCCTTATAACCCTTTACAACAGTCATTATGAACAAGGCAATTGTTGATCTGACTGATTTCTAGGGACCTCAGTGCTAAATGCCCTGAGAGAAAAGGAGAGTCTAGACTAGGGTTAGCCATACTAGGATAAAGAAATGTGCAATATAAACAAACAATGTGTGCATATGTAATATCAAAACATAAATCACAGATCTTGCACTGCAGAACTACTCATTCTCATTAATAACTCTTTTGCATTCAACAAAACAAACTCAGTTCAAGTCAGCCCCATTCAGAAAAAAAAACTATTTAACCACATACCACTTTCATATTGGCAATGATGGCAAGGTAATTTGCTTCCGTTTCCCTTAGCTGCCTCCTCAGGTCTTCCCTCTCCTGGATAACGCGGTTCTCCTCTGCAACTGCATCCTGGTGCAGGTTGAGCAGGCTCTGCTCACTGTCCACCTGAATGCAAAATTGTTTAGAGACATGTTATGATGTACATGTAAAAGGCTACAAAATATGATGATATCTTATATGGTAAATATTGATTATGTTGCAGATTTCATATGATTTAGTAAAATAAAGATGTCTCATGTATCCATAGAATACATCATCTGACAAGGAGGCTTTCCATATACAAAGGGTGGATAACCAAATGACTGATTATGCATCTTACTTTCTCATAAGATTTATTAAGAGTTAGGGAGATTAGGTTCCTGACCATTGTCTTGACCTGTCCTTAAATATGGAGAATACACTATTACTTATTACTTCACAAATTTCTTGGCAGAAGTCCTGCCATTTAGAACTCAAAGGCCTATTAGCTTGAGGTACATCACCAAATTTCCCTGACATCCAAGCATTAAGACAGCATTTACCTGTGTGCCAAGGATTGGGCAGTGCTCCACATACTTGGTTCCAATACATACCATACTCTTAGGCCTGTACTTTTAAAACCTTCGCCAGTGCTGGTGTTCGCCTGGCAAAGCTACACCAGGCGAACCTCTGAGTGAGGGAGGCCTTACTTTTAAACCCAACGTTCGCCAGGGCAGGTGAAGGGATCGCCAGGCGCTAACATCTTGCATTCTCGCTAAATCTAGCGCAAATTTGTTTACATCTGCAGTGCACATAGCATAACCTAAACTTAATCATTAACCTCGAGAGAAGACGAAAATGTTGTTTCTGCAATAGTCTCACTTTATACTATAACAAAGGAGTTAAATTTTAACTTTGTGCTATAACAAAGTTGAAAATATCTTTATACTATAACAAAATCAACTTTATACTTTATGCTATACTACACTTTATACTATAACAAGGTTTACTTTATGGCCCTGTACTTTTAAAACCTTTTGCTTTTTCTCGCTTTTTTTCATTCACCGAAGCACTAGATTTAGCAGGAATCCAAGATGTTAGCGCCTGGCGATCCCTTTCGTTCGCCAGGCCTGGCGAATACCTGCCTTGGTTTTAAAAGTAGGGCCTCCCTTACTCAGATGTTCGCCTGGCGAACGCCAGCATTGGCGAAAGGTTTTTATACTATACTATATCAACTTTATACTTTTATACAAAAAATAACTTTATACTTTAACAAAAGAGTTTAAAGATTACTATTTTACTATTCCTAACTGATATAAGATATTGAACAGTAGGCCTACAAGGGTATCATTAGAGACGCCTCATTATAGGGCGGTGGAGCACTACAGCTATGCTTCTATAGCCAAAAGTAAACATGCCGCCATAATAACACTTCTGGTAACATTTGTGAAAAGAACATTATCCTTACAACCAAAATAACAACAACCTAAATCTAAATAAGTCATCTCAGGGGTGGGGGTAGGGGGGGGAAGGAATACAGCTGATGTCTTGAGCTCTCGACTGGAACATCGAAGGTCTTGAAAAAAAATACGTATATACGTTATTTCATAATAAATTATGATTTTAATATATTTTAGAATTTCAATGTGATTCCTACATCATATCATACACAAATGTGTTACTAATTTATAACTTGAAAGCAAGAAAATGGTATTCAAACAGCTCTCGCGCCTTTGCTTCGCCAGGCTGTTCCAATATGATCTTTCGCCAGGCATGATTTTAAAAGTACGAAATTCTGGATCGCCCAGCGAAACCTTTCGCCAGCCCTGGCGAAAGGTTTTAAAAGTACGGGCCTTAAAGCTTAGCACAGCACTGCATTTAATCTTCTTATCTTCTTTAATGAGTAGTAATAACAGGCATATGTATATGTTACACAAATAGGTCTCCTCATAAAATTTGTTGCCTAGTTTGATGTGGGGTAACTAGTACAGTTTGGTATGTTGGTTTAGCTGGAGTAAATGTCTGATAATGAAAAAGGGTTCAGTTTTTATGTTTGAACTAGAAACTATCTAAAAAGGAGCTGCTAGACAACTTGGATAGATATGATAGCAAAATGTACTTTTATACAGGGATATGAAAGAATCATCTTCTCTTATATTAAGATGTGAAGCTTATTTTTCAAATCTATATTAATATATCAAAATAAAAGGGATTCTATAACTGTATAAAACATTGTAAACCCACTTGAAGCTGAGTAAGCGTGTTCTCCTGTGTGAACATGAGGTGCTTCATCTTCTGCTGATATACACTGATCTCCTGCTGGTGCTTCTCCTCTGCCTCTCCAATCTCAACATCTTTATGCCTACAAAAGAAGAAGGAATTAGTTGCCTTGTCATGATGACAAATCCTGATAACTGTGATGCTTAAAGAAGTGATGTAAGCTATAAAACTGTGGAACACAATTAACAGAGAGGAAAAATAAAACATGAGAAAAACAATAGCAACTTAATATAAATAATGCTTGACTATGGATATTTACTAATCATCTTGTACGGATAGAATCTACTACAAAAATCAGCTAATATGACAACATAAACATCTGTTCTACAACACATTCAGAGGTAGATCATATATCTAATTAGGGTTCAGATTGTATATATATATCCCTTTGATGATGGGATCTAATTCATTTGATGCAATATTACACAACAGTCTAGACTTTGTGGCTAGGCCTAAGCTCCAAGTCACAATGCGTATTTATATATATGTCATAGGCTGTTACGTCATGATGGCTATAGCCATATCTGTTAAGTGTGTGTGGTGTTTGTTGTGTTGTGCTGTGTGTGTGTGTGTGTGTGTGTGTGTGTGTGTGTGTGTGTGGGTGTGTGTGTGTGTGTGTGTGTGTGTGTGTGTGTGTGTGTGTGTGTGTGTGTGTGGTGTGGTGTGTGTGTGAGTGTGTGTGTGTGAGTGTGTGTGGTGTGAGTGTGTGTGGAGTGTGTGTGTGAGTGTGTGTGTGAGTGTGTGTGGTGAGTGGTGTGATGTGTGTTTGTTAGTGTGTGTGTGTTGTGTGATGTGTGTGTGGTGTGTGTAGTGTTTGTGTGTGTAAAATGTGTGTGTGCTGTGATGAACCTGTAGTGTTGTTTAAGTTTCTTATTCCATAGTTGTTCTATACCTAGTTTGTAAATTGGATACGGGGAGAAGACAATATTGTCTCAGAGTATGGTCCCTGTACTGCTTTATATTTAAATATTTTCTATAATAACTTTATTAAATATGCATGTTACAGAGATTGTTACACACACTATAACTTGATTGAAGGGAGACTGTTCAACGGTGGAGGGGGGGGAAATTCAATAATTTACTGTTTTGGGAAAACTATAATTTTTATTAAGGAACA